ATACTTGGGGGAACCGAAGAACATATCTTCTTGCTTTTTGGCCTGATTCGAAGAGCTCTTGTCTGGTGAAGACGGTGCTGCAGGCGCCACAGTGAACACCTCTCCTGCGCCCTCGCAGTCTGAGGAGGTGACGATTGGTGGATGGCACTGAATGAAGTCATGTTCCGCAAAGTAGTTGGTCACTTGTGCAGTGACTAGCGATCTCAGCCGCAGGAGAAGCGAATTAACTGGTAGTCGACTTCGGAGATGTGGGAGTGTGCGCAAAAATTCGGGCGTTTGATATTTCTTCTGGATTGGGTAGGCCTGGAATTAAGATTCAGATCAGACATCGGGCAAGACTCCGAGGCTCACTCATGTTGACTTACTGTGGCATCATTCTCCCCCAGTATCCGCACATGGTTGACTTGAAGTTCATGGGATTGGCCTTGGCCTGGCGAGGGTGTCCACTTTCCCGTGACTGTCACTGCAGCGCCTGTGGAGAGTCTGACAGCACAGCATGTCAGTACTTACAGGGTATCCTGAAGGGAGCTACTGACCCTTCTGCTAGTTGAGGAGGCAGGACGGCCTGGACTGTTTGCAAAGTCGAGCCGTCGCCTATAGCCGCGAATGCGATGCGTTTTTGCTTGCGCACTGTCCGTACATAGCCGTTTATCGTTAGTGCCTCATTATCCTGTGCGCTCCGATGAGATGAACTGGCCGATTGAGTTGGCCTTAGCAGCTCAGCAATAGTGTTTGGACAGAAGGTGGAACTGCAGCGGGGACGGCATAGTGATAGTGCATGTGCGCAAGGTAGAGCGGTTCCCCGGTTTCGGAGTAAGTGCTGGGGACGGACAACGCCCCTCCGAACAGACAGGAGCCAATTCATTTACGCGTCGGCAAATTTCGATCGGCCAGGAGCTGCGCGGTGTAGCGTAGAAACAGCACTCTCTATCACACGTGCGGGTTGATGTCTGTGAAACCTTGGAAAAAAACGAAGGACGCTTGGACCCCACGCTAGGATCGCGAAGGCCTCGCCCGTGCCGTTCCTGTGGCTCGTTGATCTCGACTGTAACACTTCAGCCATAGCTGAAACATCATGTGCTGCAAGGACCGACCATGTCCTTTCACGAGATTTGAGGCCCATGAGCGTAGCGCCGATGGCCTTCGGAGCCTGTGGTCTTGGTGTTCTTCTTGGTCGTTCCCTTGACCATCATTGGGTGGGTCAGCTTCTTCCTCCCCTCCACCGCCAGTAAGCACACCAACACACGAACGCCACGCCCCACCAAGCTCGACGGCCGTTTGTACAACCTTTACCGTGTGCCAGGATACTTTTAGGCAAGGACTGCTGGCAAAAGAATTTGCAGAGCTCTTAGCTTAAAATAATTATATTAATTTTTTTATAACTATATAGCCTAATCTTTTATTCTATATAAAGAAGTTTATATTATACTTTAGCTATAGTTATAAAAGTACTTATATTAAATTTTAAAGTTCTTTAAAGTAACTTCTTACTATAGCTTTATAATTTATTTTACCTTAAAAATTATATTATATAAGTAATCTACTTAGTTATATAGTATTTATCTAATATTTTTAAAGTATTTAATAGTATTATAAAGCTTAATCTTAGCCTCTATATAAGTAAAGTTATATATAAAGTTTTTAAAAGTATAAAAAAAAGTAATACTATTAAGCTTATAATTCTAGTAAAAAAGGTATATTATACTCTATTTAATATTAAATAAGATAAAAATATATTATTAAAAGCTTACTTATATTAAGTACTTAGTAAAGAGTAAATTTAAGTTATTAAAAGATATTATAGCTTAGCTTATAGTAGTATATATTAGTATAGTTTAAGATAAAAAGTAGTAAAAAAGATTAGCTCTTTTTAAGTATAAGTTATAGCTAGGTAGCTAAAAATAAAGTTTACTAAGATATATTTTTAACTAATAGGTAACTATCTTACGTAACTTTAAAAGACTATAGCATTAGCAAGCCTTAGGCGACCTGTTATTAAAGTGGCGGAAATGCTCGCTAGATGGACGTTTTCGTGCCACCTCCGCTGGCGGTGAGGAAGACGCCTCGTAGAACGCCATGCATTCCAGCAGAGTACCATTACCCTGCATCCGGATCTTAGTGCCGACGCTATTACTGCGACGCTATATCGTGCAGGATCTTGGTTAGCAGCTGTCATCATCGGCTTGCTCAACGCCGCCAGATCTTTCTAAACCGCTTTCAACCCTATGCAGATCGCTTCAAGGCCTGGACGATCGATCCAGCCACACATCCCTGCTCCAATTTGCTCCTAGGAACCCGACACGGCACTTGGTGGCTTGAGGTGCCTGGCAGCTCTGTGGGTGCACAGCATGGCCCCAGGACCAGGATGAACTTTGCAATCACAAGGCGCGGCTGCTACCGGCCATTCGACATCTGTGTCTTCCCTAGACTGCTCGGGCACACGACTCATGGCTCCATCTTTCCTGCAGGTCTGCGCTACGGCTGGTGTAGATGCTACCCGCGATGACTGCATGCACAGGGGAAGGCTTGATTCCCGCAGTGGACTACCGTTTTGGTAGCTGGCGCAGTGGAAATGCGCCAGCTTAGTCTCCGGGGTCCATCTGGAACCATTATTTAGCTGCGTTATCACACGCCCTTGAGTAGTTGCTCAAGTGATATACTACCCTCTCGCCCGTTGGGTCACAGACTCGCTCTCGCTACTGTCACCCCTCGTTATTCTCACGCTGTTCCATACTGCAGTTAACCATACCTTCACCATACGTACATTCACACAAGCAGTCTACAGGACCCCCTCACAGTGCTTTACTACCATGCCGCCATCAAGACCGAAGCCGTCAGAAATAGCAGCCGAAGCAAAACGCGTATGGATGCCGCATATCTGGAAGCATTACATCCGAGACTCCAAAACCTCATACCTGTACCCAGACTCTTCGCAAATAAGGATCAACGTGGACAAGCGATCATCACAACGCACGAGAGTAGCAGTCATGGAAGGCGACCCCGTGAACTACGCTTTGGGCTGGTACCAAAGTGCTGTCAACGCAGACCCAGAGTGCAAGCGGATACCAGTGATCAACGTAGCAAACGAGAAGCGCGCTGGAGGTGACTGGGAATCTGGGCTCATGGCACCAGAGGAATGCTTCGCGCGGAGAAGCAACCTCGTGCATGCCCTCACAATGCCTTGGAACGCGCAATTGGGCCGAGAAGAGAACTATTACCCAATACCACAGACAGGCGGCATCTACTCCCCTGAAGTCTGTACGTTGGCATGCTAGTAACGATCGTCACGAGGCACAAGTCACTAACGGGCCGCAGTTGTTTTCCGAGCAGGCCCAGATCAAGACTATGCAACTTTCACAGACATAGCGTCCTTACCTGTGATATCCGTTGCACCCGTGCGGCGTCCTAAGCTTGACGAGAGCGGCTGCAAGTATTCGTTCGCACAAGAGAAGGAGCTCATGAAGGAGAAAATGCGGGCAGTACTGCGAATCGCTTCCTACTGCGGGCACAGGAACTTGGTATTGGGCGCTTTTGGACTAGGGCCTATATTCCGAAACCCGGCACAGGAGGTAGCCCGAATGTGGAGGAAACTACTCTTCGAAGAGGAGGAGTTCCATGGCGCTTTCCAGGATGTCGTGTTTGCCATCGACAGTAGTATGGTTGGGTCGCCGAGCAAAGGGTGCGCGTCCGATGTGGAGATTTTTAGGCGCGAGTTCGACCCTGCGACTATTTGGCCGACAAAGTGGTGACCAACTGGCACTACGACGACATCGAGGATGCAAGGAAAAGAACCACAGCAACAAAATCTTCGGACCAGCATTGGGTAGCTTTTGGGTAGCATGGGACATGATCACGAAGCCTACGAACAAAAGCACACGAACCGAAACGCACACACACGTACACATGGAGGCAGGATCCTTCGGCGACGCACCAACCCGATGGAGGGGTAAAAATAAGCCACTTGACCCGGATGAAGTCATGGAAATGGTGGGGTGGGGGTCTTCTGTATGCATAGATAACCGAGAAAAAGCTCAGATCTCGCCGACCCGACGAGTCGAACCAGGTGGCGCGCTGCTGCTACTGCCGCTCGATTCTGCGGCTAAAACCTGCACGTCTTAGTAGCCAATCAGTATTAATCAACAATATTGGGTAACATGCTGTCTTGCGGCAAGACATTTGTCATGCTCCTTGCACTTTGCTGTTTTGGTGCGCGTAGGATTTCGGGCCCTGGGAGGTTGATTCCGATGCGCATGTTGATTCCGATGATTACTCTGATTAGGCTTTCGTGCTGATGAGGGGTTGCCAAACAGAGTTGAAGACTTCCATGTTCCCCCTCAACAGTAGAGTTACCGCTGTCAGGCTGTCAGCAACAAAGACTCGGGCAAAAGGAAACTGCCGACAGACAGCCACATGCCCCTGGAGGTACGGTGACCAACAAAAGGTCACAGCCCTTGGCATCAGGGCCAAGACGCGGCCTGACCTACAGAACTCGCGCTACGATTCTGCATGGAAACAACTCCCGCGCCTACTCCTAGGCCTGCATTGACAAGCTAAACACCGCTGATCCCCGATTCGTCCTTGCGTCTATGCGACGAACCCATCATGCAAGGAGTACACTTGACAGGCGCGGCTCGACACTTTGTGGCTAGGCTACATCGGTGAGCGTTCCCAAGCTCCGGTGACGACATTATGCGAGTCTAGTCGCAGTTCGAGTAAGGTAGTGTGTTGGATGTTTGGGCCGGGCTACAGGACCGCTCACTGAGGGTGGGAGGTTCATGCACTTCAATTTGATCTGAGGGTCTAAGGTAAACGCGATGCCTTGCATTTGAGTGCATAGAGAGTGTGTGGGTGCTATGCCCCATCGTGTGAGAAGTCTAGAACGGCAGGGAAGCCGAGCTGCGTGATAGCTGCAAACGCTTTTTGGGAGCGCTTTGAGAGTAGTATACATATTGTACATTGGTCATGAGCGGCATTAATAGGGCTGTTCAGCCACACTCCATCTATCTGTTCTGACCCGGCAGTGGTAGTTGCGGGGCAGTGATTTCTCCACCTTGCATCTCGATCTTCTTGATCGTCTGTTCTCTTTGGTAGTTTACGACTCGTTGCTTCTTGAAGTATTCGACCTAGAGAATGTTAGCCTAGTAGTCGGGTATGTTCCTTGTAAGATGTCCAATCTGTAGTTCCAGGAAGCCTGTGTAGTGCCGTAGTCGCCGTATCTGTCCCGGGCATGGAAGTATGCTGCTTGCGATTGCGAGATTTGACGTACCCAGCTGTGTGCACAGTTCTTCTCAAACTCCTGATCAAACGACCCGCAGAAGCTTGCAGCCTTGTCCCTACCAGACTTTGTGTTTATGCTATCTAGGACGTTGTTCTTGTCGAGGCATTCGAAGAAGGCGTCGCGTGCGGCGTAACACTGTTTCCGGTTGGATCGCGACGGTGACTCGAATGCGCCGCCTTCTGTCTTCTTGACGCCCGAGTCGTCCTTGGAGCTTGAGCCGAACCAACCCATGGCGGCGATTTTCGAGCTTGCGGAGGAGATGCGGAGGTGGAGGCGACGGTCGACACTGGCGCGGGTGTCAGTCGCAAGGTGGGGTATTCGCAGGGAGACCGGGTCGGGGTGATAACGTACGTCGGCAGTGTAAGTCTGGAGGTCGGACTTGTGGATTCGATAGGGTTGTCGTCGATAGACGTTGGAGAGCGCAACGATGTCGAATTCGTGCTTGGCAGGCCCTAAGCTATGACATCGGCGCTGGCTGTCCACGTTTCGCCGAACCGTTAGGGAACCCATGAATCAACAGGCAACCTTGCAACTACAACCAGACAAATCGACAACTCCCCTTATGCTCGGGTTATAGCGCATCGCCCGCGTATTGATGCCACGCCGACGCCGCCCTCCACGACCCGGCGCACTTGCGGATCTGTCCCCAACCCGCATCCTCACGCAGATTGTACTCCTACAGGCTGCCTACTATGCATGCGCCGGCGTCCTCATCCTCTTCACCGCGCTGGTAGCGGGTAAGGAGGTCAGCACCGACCTCCTGTTCAGCTGGCAAAGTTTACGCGGCGATACCACAATCGGGTGGACGCTGGGTCTGGTCTGGGTGCTGAATAGTCTCACTTGGTAAGCACTCGATCGCGCTGCCTAGTCAGCCGTACCATATTCTAACACGCGGCAGTGCCATCTTCATACTTCTCCTTATTGCCCGCTCAAAACTCGTTCTCGACTTCGCCCTCACTGTCCACTTTATCCACCTGATCGTCACCTCCTTTTACACGCACGCGATACCTACCAACATGTTCTGGTGGGCCCTCCAGATATGTAGCGCGACCATTATGACTTCGCTGGGCGTGTGGGCATGCCAGTGGCGCGAACTAAGGCCAATCAACTTCGGTAGCAAGCCACCTGCGCGATCACAACCAGCTACAGGGGACGAAGGTGGAGAATCTAGAGGGCGAGGCAGGGGCAGAGGCAGAGACGGTGCTGGAGAATACGAGATGGTGGGGATGAATGAGGGGGATAATAATGTCTGATCAGACTCAGACCTGCATAATTGGCGTTTGGGTTGGGTTGACTTGGATACATGCATGTGAGTGAAGGAGGCTGTTAAGGGCCATCACATTATACCCTGAGAAAGCATGGAGCACATTACATTAAGATTCGCCTTCTACTTCTCCATGTCTTTAGTCTTGGACGCACCACAGTGTCATCGACACTCATAACTTTCTATTTCTCTACCTGCGAGAAACCACCTGGAGCCACTTCTTTCGAATTCGATAACTCCATCTCTTACTGCAAACCATGGCAATACCTTTGGTTCCATGCTGACATCTAATGCTTCTCTTTCCTCGGTGCTGATCTTCGGTGTGACTCTGCAAATGATTCTTTCCAGCCTTGCGCCTAATACCGACCGGCCTTGTTCGGTGGCTGCCATGACTTGTATAACGCTTGGTCGATTCGGCAAGACTGTACCTAGTAAGGTTGTCAGCATCGGTTGGCATGAAGCTTGTTGTGCGTGACATACCCGGGAAGAGTTTCCTTCGTAGTGGTATTCCAACCTGATGCACTGCATCGCTTCCACTTTCTTTGAATGCTAAGACGACTTCGGTACTTTGCGATTGACTAAGTTCGTGTTCTTGGAGGAGAGGTAGCTGAGTGTCATGTTTTGGTATGCTGAGAGCGGGGACGGTCAGGCACAGCGGCAGACTGTAAAAGAAGTGTCTAAGTAGCATAGTTTCTGCGAAGGAGGCAGAAGATTCAGTAAGGTGTATGGTGTCTGGAGTAGATGCTTCAATATGAGTTGGCACAAGTGCTGAGCCCATCCAAGAGGGCAATTACGGTAGCGAGTTGTGAAAGTGCACCAACAGACCCTTCCTAGATTGTCAAGAATCGGATCCTGTTCTATATAAATACGGTAGCATATTGGCTGAAACGTTTATAAAGAACTGCCACCTACTAAGCTAGCTGCCGGGAGAGCGGCTCGGGCTGCCCAAGCAGCAGGCTAGCAGCGTTGACACCGCGTAAGTAATTTCTCGGCGCTGGGCCCAGATCGTTGATAATCTCTTTCACCACATCGAACGGCTTATAGCTAGACTTGCGCGATAAGACAAGTACCATCAAGAGATTCGCATGAGAACTTCACAAGTGGTTCGGGAGGAGACACCAGTTCCCAGTGAGCCACGAGTCGGAGCGGGCAAAACGCGCGATGCTCTAGCGCGAAGCACGTGCACCAGCCTTTGCAACAGTCACAATCCCTGTCTCGAAGCTTTCGACATCACCACCATTCTCTCGGTGCCATACACCACAATGATCATTCACTAACACGTATGGGCTAACGCAGGTACGATACGATCAAGCACACAATGAACCCCAATAATGGATACTACGGGCAGTGGCCGCCAGGACAGCCACCGGATAATAGACGCTTCTTACCCGTTGCAGGTACTTTCGGAGAGGCTGCGCCAGGCTTGATGCAACCAGCTGCGCAATATGGCAGACAACAATACCCCGTACATTTTCCACCAAACGCGGTATTTCCTCCTCAAGAGGTATATCCACACCCGCCTCCATTCCAGCCTTCACTTCACCATCAGCCGCCAGCCCGGAGTCCCTTCATACCTCTCATCCCACTCAGCGCTGTAGAGGATTTGGAGGAAGAAGAGCCTCCTCCTTTCACTAGTGGAGGGTTTCAGGATCCGTTCAATAGAGCCTATGCTACCAGTGGACCTGCGGTCTTTGAAGGATTCATCCCAGCCAACCCGGGGCAAGAGGACGATGATGAGTATACCAACGCGACCAGATTTCGTGATTCGCGATATGACCGCGACTTTGATAGTTCGGATTCCGATCAGGATGACTATCGGCTGACCATGGAGGAAGAGGAGGAACTACAACGGATCGAGAACAAAGATGATTCAGAAGTAGACGCAGACTACGAATCGGAAGATGCACAAGAAGATGAAGGCGATCCAGACGAAATGGAGCTAGGCGTCGAGTTTGAGGATACTGAAGAGCGGACAAAGTACAAGAGAGGGAAGGGTAGAGGCCGAGGTACACTCAAGACTCCAGTGACCGCTAGTATTATACCAGCGTCTAGTGCCAGAGGGCGAGGTAGTGGGAAACGAGGACGTCCTTCGACTAGGGGCCGTGGCGGTAGAGGAGGCAACAATGGCGCCAGACCGACGCCTCGGAAAAAGAAGCGAGGCAAGCCCGGAAGAGAAAAGGGACCCAGAGGTCCCCGAGCCGTTGCCGACCCGGGTGCAGAATGGAAAGCACTGCAGAAGCAGGCCAATGCAAAGTTTATCGAAAAGGACTACGAAGCTGCCCTTGCCTTTGCCCAGCAAGCTATTCAACTCAATCCCGAGATCTTCGATGCTTACAACATTGCATCAGAGATCTATACCGAGATGGGTCGAGAGGAGGACTCATTGGCTGTGCTACTGGCTGGTGCACCAACTAAGCGTGATCCTGGTCTTTGGCAGTACATCGTCGAGCGCATAGAACGGTTGGATCCAGAAAAGCATCCACAATTTACAGACGAAAACAAGTCGGCTGCCATTCTCCCATGTTTGAATGAGATCATCTTGCTCAACAACGACTATGAAGCTCGAAGTCGCAAGCTTGAAATTGAGGCGCAACTAGGCCGCTCATCGAAGTGCGTCGCACTCGGTCTCAAGATGCTCAAAACACTCAAGGAACAAGGAGAAGATCCGGATGTCAGTGTATTAAAGATCATGGCAATGATGGGTACTGCCTCTCCGAAACAGACTAGGATACACCTTAACAAGCTGCTGAATAGCTTTGAGGAGGCCATTGACGTTTTCACACAGCCTGACCGGGATCCAGTCGAGAACGAACTCGATTGGGAGCTAATCAACATTTACCTTGATCTTTTAGACCGAGCTGGTAGCTATGGCGCTGGTGTCACGCGACTCAAAGAGCTTGCCCGGTGGAAGCAGGGTAGGCGTTCCGAGACATTCTGGGACGAGCTGAAAGACGATCGCGAGTTCGATGTCGAAGATGAGCCAAGACGCGTTACTGTGCCCCAATTCGTCCGAGCATCGCAGGATGCAGCCTATGGCTCAACCCTGCCATTAGAGATTAGGGTGAAGCTAGGCTTGTTTCGCTTACGCAAGAGCAAGGATGACTTTGATGAAGCGATGGTAAGTCAATTAACTGCGCCAAAGCTACGCATTACTGACTACGATGTAGCGTCACCTTGAGATGTTGGAGCCGGATAACCACGACCCTGATGCTCTGATTTGGGACTACGAAGACCTGTTTCGTATCATTGGCGATGCTCTTCACGCCACCGGCCACGACGAACACGCGCTGCGATTCTACGAGCCCTTGTTCGACAAAAATTCGAACGAATTCAACCTCCAAAGTTACATTGGCCTGCATACATGCTTCAAGAACCTAGAAAGAACTGAGCGGGCGGCAGAGGTAATTCCAATCCTGAAGAAGTGGCCGGCTGAGAACTATGACGATCTCGCTGTCCTTGCGAAGTTCTTTGAAGACCAAGGCATGTGGCAAGAAGCTGGGCAGCGCGCTGAGACTATCTATCGCGACAAGTATGGCCACAAGCTCAAAGCCCTCGGGTTTGAGGCATACGATGAGCTCAGGGTGTACTACTACAATCAGCGAAGGCAAGCTCGTGGTAGATATGGTGTTCGGAAAAGCACGGTCCGGAGGAATAGGAGGAAGATGCAAAAAGCAATCGGCCAGACCGGTGAGGACGAAGACACTGCAAACGAGAACGGCAACGTGGAGCTTCCTGCACTTGTCGCCCCGACTGAACGTCCCAAGAAAGGTTTCTTCCGAACGAAGAGAGCAAAGGCGCCCAAAGTTCAGGCGTTCCTCGATGTACGCGACGAAGACGCCGATACAGGTCCCGATACAGAACCGAGACGAACTACCCTGGAAGGTACCGATGTGCCGTATCGAGCGATCAACAACAGACTGTTCCGCCACAAGCTCCAGAAACTTGCGACAGATTACGCCGACGACCTCAAAGCCGCCCGAGCTCAGCACCGCGAGATTGTCTCCAGTTTCAAGCGACTAGAGGAGATATGGGAATTGGCAGAGGATGGGGATGAGGATGCTGTACATGAAGTTCTCTCAATTACCCGGGAGCTCATCGAAGAGTTCTCGACTTTCGATCTGTTCTACTCGAATCGGAAGGAAGATCTTATGACCTACTTCCGTCGGGTCACAGGTGGTGATCTATGGAAAGAGTCCTCGCTTATGGTACTTGCCGTTGTAGCAAACAACGTTGAAGATGGAGAGAC